AACTGAACTCCCCTCTTTGAATCCAGGCAGGCTAGCAGCATACAAGGCTATCACTCTATTGCACAACACCTGTCTCAGGACAGTAAAGGGTATGTGTCAGACTGTACATCACCCCCTTGTCTGAAGTACAAAATCTCCCAAATGCCCTGACCAGCAGAGGGCTCTACATGACCTGCAATGGAGACTACTCAGAAGGGCCTCACCAAGAGATGACCCCAGGGCTACCACTGCTGCTGTTGTTGCTGCCGCCATGACCACTTTACGTTGAGGAAGAGGAGGAGAAGGAGCAGGAGGAAGAAGAGCAGGAAGAGGAGGAGCAGGAGGAGGAGGAAGAGGAGGTAGAGCAGGAGGAAGAGGAGGGGGAGGAGAAGGAAGAGGCAGAACACCTTTCAGTGGAAGACAGCTCTCCAAGGCAGGTTGGTCAGTGATTTCTCAACCTTCTTATGCTGTGAACCTTTAATACAGTTCCTCATGTTGTGGTGACCCCAACAATAAAATTATTTCCTTGCTACCTCATAAATGGAAATTTTCTACGATTATGAATAGTAATGTAAATATCTGATATGTGACCCCTCCCAATGGGATTGAGACTCACAGGTTGAGAATTTTTGTCTTAGGTAGCTTAGTGATGTCCTGCACTGCCTACCTCGGCCTCTCCTAGAGCCCCACAAATATTGATCAGTAGGGTTAACGTCTTTTACGTGCCAGCCTTTCATTCTCATCCGTGTTCTGACACTTTTTTCTTTTCTTCCCTCCATCAATGTTTCTGAATCCATCTTTCTTGTTTCTTCAAATCATTTTTCTCTTTTTGTACTAGATTTCCCCTTTCACCTCTTGGAATTCTTATCATCTCCTCCTCACTTCTATTCTTTATTGTCCATTATTTGATCTTTTGTTCCTTTCTCACTTAAAAAAACTCACTTTCCCATCTCATAGTCTTTCTTGTCTCTGATCACGTAGTTCTGGTTTCTTCCATTTCGTTGTACTAACTCAGCATGGACACCACTCTTTAACCATGGCTTACACACTGGTAACTTGTGAGGCAAATTTGGTTCACAGCTTTCTTTGGCAGATTTATTCTTACTTAACTGTTAATTTTAAACAACCAGGAGATTTCTTTTTAAAAATTCTGAATGTCAAGCTTTACTTGAAAATACAGTTTCTTGTAACTCCATCGGGCAGAACTCAGCTAGGCTACCATGATGACAAGGTAGACACTCTTCAGTGAGCCACAAACTCACCAAAAATCATTCCCTGACAACATTAGTTTACCTGGTTACCCCCTCTCCAGCCTCTGCTTGCCTTCTCCTGGCTTTTGCTGTGATGGGCCAGCCAGTGCTGAAGTCCCTAGTTTCTGAAGTCATTTTCCAGCAGTAATCTCTCTTTAGGAAATCTCTCAAATTGTATAAACATCACCTTATTTTCCTCATCTATAATGACAACCATTTAATACCTATTTCATGAATTTGAGATATCAAAGGATATAATGCTTGTAGTATGATTAGCACACAATCTAGCAAACAGTGGGCCATTGGTAAATGGAACTTCTTGTCTTTCTGCTCTTATTTACATCTTCCAAACTGATATTCAATTTCTTATCTTCTATCTTCCTTCAGTTTTTCACCTCTTTATTCACTTCAGGTATATGTATATGTTTATACTTTCTAATTACATTTTTCTGCTCTTATTTTCTTTATGATTAACTTTATCAGATTTAGAATCACCTAGGATACTGGTAAGAAAAGCCTGTGGGTATGTCTGTGAGATCATTTTGAGAGAGAATTTAACTGAGTGAAGAAAATCCATCCTGAATTTAGGTGGCTCCATCTTACCAGATGGGGACCTAGAAAAAATAAAACAGAAAAAAGGAGAAAGTCATTAGAGTATGCTTCCTGGCTGTGCTGGCTTGAATGAAAATGCCCCCATAGGCTCTTAGAGAATGGCACTATTAGGAGGTGTGGCCTTGTTGTAGTAGGTGTGGCTTTGTTGGAGGAAGTGTCTCGTTGGGGGCAGGCTTTGAGGTCTCAGAAGCTCAAGCCTGCCTAGTGTTTCAGTCACTTCCCGATGCCTGCAGATCCAGATGTAGAACTCTCAGGTACCTCTCCAGCACCATGTCTGTCTGTCACATATGGTATTTGCAAAATTTCTGATCCATGCTGTGAGAGAGATGATAATCTCACAGGAAAATGCAAAGGGTCAAAAAACAGTGTGTCCTGCTGGAAACCAATTATTCCCAATCACGACTTTGAGTGATGAGTGAATATGGTTGCTTTTTGCATTGCAACCACCCTCACCGTCCTGACTATGAAGTAAATTACATATTTCCTTACCCTGTTTTATTATCTCATAATTAGCTGTTGTCATTTAACTTAAGACTATATAGAAGACTCAGAACTAGGGCAAAGAGTTGAATTGGGAGAGGAAGAGGAATTGGGATGAAGATGGAGTTTGGTATTCTGAGGACAGCCTCAAGGTTTCATAGTACAACCTGTGTTGATTTTGTTATTTTACAAGACATCAATTTAGGCCATGGAGTAACAGACTAATATTACAGATAAACAATTCATAGTTCTTTACACAAGATTATATATTAAGTCTCCACTGCATGAAATGAAATGATCTGGCAGCTACTTTATCCGTAGACACGAGCAATCAGGAACATCTAGGTTATCCACTAATAAATGTGTGGACTGCATAACTGCTAACTCCCCACCTTATCCCATGCTATTTCTAGCATAGTTTTAGTTATCATATGAGAACCTTGTCTTGGGAATTATCAAACAAGAAATGAAGGAATTTAGAAGACACAGTGTGTGTGTGAGGAGCCATAAAACTGAGGATTTCTATGAGGCTGTAAAATCAAAGAAGCACTGAGCCAAGAGAAGCATTAAATAGGTAGAAGAGCTAAAAGCTGTTTATGTTTCTAGAGGGATCAATAAAAGACAACTGATTCCTCTTCTCTACAATCTACAAACAAGGGTTTGCTCAATGAAACCAACGTTAAATAAAAATGACACAAGAAAAATGAACTACATTTGTCCATAGTTCCCCTTTAAAAATCACTACTTTAAGAAACTGTAAAATGTAGTGACAAGGTTATGCTTTAATTACAGGTGGGGTGAATTCAGCTTTAATAACAATTGCATCTTTTGCCAGAGTAAAGGAGAATTCATCTTCATGCTTCACATTCCAAGCCCATAACTTGGTAAGGTAGAGGAAGGTGAAGCTTCAGAACAGGAATCTTGGCTCCTGAGAAGGGCCATGCACAATGAGAAGGGCCACGCACTGAAGGCTTTTTTTAATTCTGTACTGAGTCCTTGTAATCTGGAGCTTGGCCAAACTAATGGGTCACAGTTCCACACAATTCAGGTTTGGAAATGACATTTAAAAGGTCATTTTGCAGAAGGGAATAGAAGTCAGAAAGTGACTTGTTTAAGGTTTCAATACTCCCTTGTGTACCATGGAATTATGTCTTCATAGACCCAACAGAAGTCGTGTGTGTGTGTGTGTGTGTGTGTGTGTGTGTGTGTGTGTGTGTGTGTGTGTGTGTATGTTAAAAGACACTGAATTCATGTAAGCTTTTGAACACATAGCTTCAGTTGCTTCCCTCTTCTAATCATGCAGCTGATTGGGAGTTGTGGCTCAGTGAATCAGGGTATCATCATACTAATATGTTATTAGTAGCCCAGAGTGGGGTTATGTGGCATCAAAATTCACAATTTTAAATGTAGTTTCCACTTAGGGCATAGTGCTTCAACAAAGCTAAAAATGTGTTGTTACTCAAGCTATCATAAGTTAGAGACCATCTGAAACCAAAATAAATATTTGATGTGCTGGTTTGAATTGACCAGATCAGTGGTTCTCAACACTAGCTACCAGAATGACATAAGTACTGGACATTGAATAATTAGAATGAGATCTAGCTGAAAACTAAAGCTTTGTCCTACTAGTCTAGAGATTAACTAATTACTTAACAGATTTGGGGAAAATAAGGAGTTCTGAGTTTGGAGAGACAAGGTGTCTAGGGTACTCAACTCTTATAAAGTTTATCAATTTCATTAAACTCTCTCAAGACTTTCACATCTAATATGGGCAATTGAGTGCATCCTGACTGAACTATCTACCTTGCTTTGCCTATGCACTAGACTCTTTTTGAGATCCTTTTAAAATATCAATATCTAGGTAATTATAATATGCATCCATAAATGAAAACCTCTGAGACCAAAGTTTTGAGATTGGGAGAACTACTTCCTTTCAAAGCCAGCCCATAATTGTCATTCAGGAACACAATTAGATTAAAGACCACTGTTGAACTCTGATAAAGTCCCAATAAAACTTTTAGGCTTGATTTTGCTTTCTAAATAAGCCTTTCCTACAGCTATGCAGTAGTAACTCACTGTTATTTTTAATTTGCTGTTATTTAAAGTCTAATCATGTTTACTGCATAGCCATGTGATTATTGGCTATTCACCTCTCTCTCTCTCTCTCTCTCTCTCTCTCTCTCTCTCTCTCTCTGTGGGGGTTTAATTCTGTGGTTCTTGCTGGCCTCAAACTTTTAATCACGTACACATGCACGCATGCATATGTGTGGTTCTGGACAAGTCCCAGCGTGTCGTCTATGTTAGTCAAGCATGCTATTGCTGATCTACATTATCAGCACATATTCATAGGTCTTCTGTGATGAGTCTCTTCAACATATGCTCATTTCAGACTGTTTATTATTAATCATTTATATTACATACAAGATCTTACCAAATTTATTATTATGTGTTACTCTGGTTTGAAGAAAAAAAAAGCCTTTCTAACTTCCAAAGTGATAGTATTGGAAGGTGATTGGGTTATGGGGATGCAATCTTTGTCAATGGGATCATGTGCATGTAAAAGTGGCTCAAGAAGGCTTGTTCATGTTTTCTATCACTTAAGGACACAGGGGAAACACACTGTGTCTGAACCAGGAAGTAAGCCAGCAGACTTCATCAGATGGCTGGTACCGGTTTGCTGAATTTTATGTTTACAGTTTTGTAAATAGAACTCACTTTTTAATAGTATATACAATTGTTTGCTAGTATAATAAATCTAACTGATTTATGTTAGCATTGTAACATGTCACTTTGTTAAATCTATTTATTAGTTTGATAAATTGTTTTCAAATTTTAATATCTTTGTGTGAGTATATGTCCATACATGGGCTCAAGTGTGTGTGTACTCGTGGTATCTGCAAATATGTATGTGCAGATAATGTTACATGCAGAGGCCAAGGAAGGAGCATGGTTTCAGACATGCATTTGATTCTACCAAACTTTATATTTTTGTGCTGGGGTACAAATACAGGTCTGCATACTTGCTGCTGAGCCATCTCTGCAGAAACTCCTTAGAATTTTATACTTAAATGGTTATACCATCTGCAGATAAACGT